ATGATATTAGAGCAAATACCAAGAAAATGTTGACAAAATATTTGGACATGAAAGATATGGGTATTGCAGATGTAATATTAAGAATTAAAATCTGTAAAACATCTGAGGGACTTGTCTTATCTCAATCTCACTATATTGAGACTGTACTTAAGAAGTTTCTTATATATAATGAAAGTCTAGTTAGAACACCAGTGGACTTAAGTCTACATTTGGCCAAATATAAAGGCGAACTCGTATCTCAATTAGAATACTCTCAGATAATAAGCAGTCTAATGCATATTACAAATTGTACTTGTCCAGATATTACATATGCAATGAACAAATGTGGTAGATATAAAAGTAACCCATATAAGGACCATTGAAAGGCACTGGTAAGGTTTCTTAGATATCTATGGTACACCTCAAATATTGGATTACTTTATACTAAATATCCAGCTGTATTAGAAGGATACAGTGATGCTAATTGGATATCAGATACAAAAGACTCAAAATCCACTAGTGGGTATGTTTTTAACATTGGTGGTGTGGCCAGTATCTTGGAAATCCTCTAAACAAATATGTATAGCTCTATCCATGGTAGAATTTGAGTTCATAGTTTTAGATAAAGCTGGAGAGGAAGTAGATTGGCTTCGAAATTTTTTAGAGGATATTCCATGTTGGCCTAAACCCGTGCCTGCAATTAGTATACATTGTTATATTCAGTCGACTATCGGTAGAGCATAAAGTAGTATGTATAATGGTAAATCTCGACATATTAGTCGAAGACATAATACAATTAAGCAATTGATCTCAAATGATGTTATTTCCATAGATTATGTAAAGTCTAGAGAAAATCTCGCGGATCTGCTTACCAAAGGCTTACTAAGAGATCAAGTACAGTGCCTATCAAGGGAAATGGGATTAAAGCCTACTACGCAAGAATCTTTGTAATGGTAACCCAACCTTGCTGACTGGAGATCCCAAAATCTTGGTTCAATGGAACAATTAAGTTATGAAGATTCAAAGAAGTACTTCGGAGTTAATTCCTACCAATTCCTACGATAAGAAAGTGCTATCTGCTGAAAGTTTTAGGTTAAGTTATACTTTTAATGATTTTTATATCTTAGACTATCTAAATAGGGTATGGCAAGTACTCTTAATAGGAGATCATCTATATAAGTGTGAAATGTGTCCACTTATATGAGAATGTTTCAAAGACTTGATTTCTCTAAAACACTTATGAAATTTAAGAGTTGTTCAAACCAAAATGAACACAATAGTGAGAACTCGAAAATGTTAGAGATGTTATTGTGTTGATATTATTGTCTTGATTTATACCAATGACTGACAATTCAAGACACCAAGTTCACTTATTAGCTAAGTAAATCCTATTGTATTCTACTACGGAATGTTCAAACTCATAAGGTACCTATTTGGATACGATACCATTCCGCCTGATCTCTCTATAGGGTCTGCATAGTCTATTGCATTAATTTCCATTAACGTGGGGGATTGTTGGAAAAATTGGTTTTATTAGTTGGTTGACCAACATTTGACCAATTTTTTTAGTGGGTCCAGTTAGTTGGAAAAATATTTCTTTGGCCGAGTATATTCTATTCCATGAGTAGATTTATGTAATGTATTTATTTTTCCTCAAAACCAATTTAGGGTGAATGAGTATGAGAATGTTTCAAAGACTTGATTCTCTAAAGCACTTATGAAATTTAAGAGTTGTTCAAACCAAAATGAACACAATAGTGAGAACTCGAAAATGTTAGAGATGTTATTGTGTTGATATTATTGTCTTGATTTATACCAATGACTGACAATTCAAAACACCATGTTCACTTATTAGCTAAGTAAATCCTATTGTATTCTACTACGGAAGGTTCAAACTCATATGGTACCTATTTGGATGCGATACCATTCCGCCTGATCTCTCTATAGGGCCTGCATAGTCTATTGCATTAATTTCCATTAACGTGGGGGATTGTTGGAAAAATTGGTTTTATTAGTTGGTTGACCAACTTTTGACCAATTTTTTTAGTGGGTCTAGTTAGTTGGAAAAATATTTCTTTGGCCGAGTATATTCTATTCCATGAGTAGATTTATGTAATGTATTTATTTTTCCTCAAAACCAATTTAGGGTGAATGAGAAATTAAGGCCAAAAGATGACCACTTGAAGTTGAAATAATTAGATTAAAAATTGGTGAGAAATTGGAAAAGTGCTAATCCCACATAGGAAAGCTAGAACAATATAAACCACTTTATATTGCTCAAGTTTGGAACTTGGGTTTGGGCCCCAAGGGGTACCAATAGTCTTTGAAGGGGAGAGAACTCACATGCTAGTAGGTTGGGTCAAAGCCCATACGCGTGGGCCGCTGTCGACCGACCGACTGGCTCGGTACGGGCATGGGTCGTGGGCTTGGACTTGGGCGAAGCTAATATATATATTTTTAGTAAAATAATATTTTATCATTATTTAAAATAATAATATATTTAATTTGTATTATTATTTTCCCTGCATTTTCTATGCGTGACACGTGAAGTCTTCTAGAATGGTGGTTAACAATTAAACTGCTTATCCAAACAGTTTGTGTCTATTGAAGACACAACTCTTCGACTGTTGTGTCTTTTGGACACAACCTTTCAACTTCTATAAATAGGCCCCCATACCCCGATTTTCATTCACTCCAAAATAAATTCTGATTTATTCTTTTTTCGAAATTATTCCTTCATCCCTGCATTATTCATGTTTTGCAATCTAGCTTCGAAAAATTATTTTTGTGCATTTTAGTCCTCCAATTTTAGAGAGATCAAAACGTGAGTAGGTTCGCCGGTTCTTGTAATTTGTTGTGCTATTATTACAAGTCAAGGTCGTTATATGTTGGGAGATGAGTGCCGGAATACCGTTAGCACCAGTTCGGGACATTATCGTTTTAAGGAGAAAGAGTTTATCTCTTACCTCGACCAATAACATTTTATAGCATTCATTGTGCACGATGTTATTCTGCCCAAATCAAATTCACGATCATATAATTATTTGCTAACAATCTTCAACATCTAGAACTACCATTTCATAGCTAGTGAGCTAGCATCACAGATAAACTTTGAATCCAGGAAACCGAAAGTCTTTATACTATAGGAAAATCTCTACATTGAGGTTATCTGCAAATTTTGAATTTCTCAGATCTTGTCCACTTATTTCCCTGAGCCGGAAAACTACATTACAAATTTATAAGCACAAATATATGTGCGATTCCCATGCTACAATCAATAACTGCATTAATGAAGCATATATTATTTATACGTTTGAGGATGCCATGCATATGCAATATTAACACCGTATATTAGTATAGACATGCAGGGGCAGACCCATTAAGGGCCCAGTGGGGGCAACTGCCCCATTGGGCCCTTAATTTTTTGCCTTGAAAAAAAAAGCCCACCCAACCTAAGAAAAAAAAAAATGGGTACTTACAAAAATATCCTTAAAATTAGGGATGTTTTGAAAAATCATATTAAAAGTTTTTAGGAAGTAAAAAATACTGTATAAAATGAAAAAGTGACACGATGTCACTTTTTTTTTTATAAAAATTGTCACTTTTTTACTTTTTTAAAAAAGTTACACAAACTCAAAAAAAGTGACAAATACCAAAATAGCATCATCCATTTGTGCAGCACCACTAATCATGTTCTTAAAATAATCACCACACTTAAGCCAATCCACATGCTGATTATATTAGGAAAATATAACATATTATTTCTTCAATAAAGTGACAAATACCAATATAGTACCATCCATTTGTGCAGCACCAGTAATCATGTTCTTAAAATATTCAGCACTTCCAAGCCAATCCACATACAGATTATGTTAGGAAAATATAAAATATTATTTTATTTTTTTATCTTCTTAAAAAGTGACAAAAAACTAAGAAAAGTGACAGACAACAAAACAAAGTGACACGCTCAAAAAGTGACAAAATTCAAAAAAAAAAAAAAGTGACTCAAAAAAGTGACGAAAATTTTTAAAAAGTGAAACAATAAAAAAAGTGATAAACACTCAAAAAGTGACAAAATAAAAAAAAAAAAAAAAAGTGACTGATCTTCTATTATTTCTAATGTTGATTAAACCATATGATGTCTATATTCATTTCATCCAGATTCGCCATCTTTGTGCCCTTACACCCAGTCGGAATAACGCATCCACTCTAAAGAGGGAAATGGCCCAAAGGACATTTAGCTGGGAGCATTAAGGAAGAAATTAGTTCTTTTACAACTTAATAATCCAATCATAATACTGTAATGGTTCTTTTATAAGTTTGAAATCAAGAAAATGTGAAAACCCCCAGTTTTCAATGATAAATAAGTAAGTTGATATTGCGGAGAAGTGATTTTAAGCCATAAGTCTCTGAACCACTATTTGAAGTTTCGACCCCTTGTTTCCACTTTGGAAGTTACAGAAAAGAAACACAAGATAAAAGAAAAGAAATTAACTAATTTTCATGAACAGATAGCATACATGAAAACTAGCATAAAGCTGGAATGAACAAATGAATTGCTTAATGGTCAGTTTCTCCCAGACTCCCTTGTCTAAAATTTTGGCTCTTTCCTTTTGTCTAAAATTCAGTCCTAAAACTATAATGGAAGATTCTCCCAACTACAAAGCATAATATACACCAAAAGGCAGTCCTCCACACGAATACCTCTGAATCCTGCTAGTAATTCATTCCACATTAAGATATGAACATGTCCCCAGAATGACTCGAATTCGCAGAACTAAATTAGCATTAGAAATAACAAAATTCTTAGTATCCAGGACAATTACCAGAATGAATGATTACATAATCCATGTTTAATCCTTCAAAATCCCTCCCCAATACATGATTATATCAACTTAATCTCCATCAGACTATTTTAGTTACTGCTCCCACCGATTGTTCCAAAAGTTAATCAAGCTTGACTAGAGACAAAATAGTAACAAAGCAGACTTCAAAAAGTAAAGCAAGTTAATTGATTGACATCAGATCAGAGGGTCGTTAAGCTTCCACACTAGCGCATTTCTTCGAGAAGAGCAAATAAGCCAAATATTGCCATAGGGGTCCTTCACCTTGCCCACGCGCCCGCCGCAGCACGAGTCATCACCCTCGGAGATCTCTCCTTCCGTAGTGGCACCAGCGTTCATGGCCTGGGCCAAGGCAGCTTCGACGTCCTCAGTCTCAAGGCAGATCACACCTCTGGTTACTACAGACTTGACCTTAGCAAACGAGTTGTCAATGATATCAGGTACAACAATAGTGGCGGAGCCAATCTTGAGTTCAACAGAGAGAACTAGTGGAATCTCGTGATCAGCCTTCCTCTTGGAGTGCAATGAAGATTGGATTCTAGCTTTAGGACGTATTAATTACGGGTTGAATGGTTTAATTAGTTTTAAAAGAGTATTATTCAATTTAGTTACTTTAAGAGGGCATTGGGCCTAATTTTTCCTTTTTTTAAAAAAATAAGGCCCAGCCCAATCATGGGTTTTGCTTGCAAATTGCAATTGTAAGTCCATTATCCACAAAACCTAATACAATTCCGGCAGAGGACGAGGAGGGAGACGAGTGTCATACATATGATATGGATACACAAACAATGGCGTTGGATGTGGAGGGGATGATGAAGGAGCTTTGGGGGACCTATGCGAGTGGGAAAACGAAGAGTTATGAGTGGAGAGTAACCCAGTTGAGGGCTCTGTTGAAAATAGCCGATCACCATGAGAAAGAGATAACTGAAGCTCTCCGTTCGGACCTTAATAAACACGACCTCGAAAGTCGAATCATTTGTATACGAGGTTAGTTCGACCATTCAATTAGGATAATATATTGGCTTCTTGTTTTGGGATTTGATGTTCTATAAATTAATGCTTTCAAGTTCTGAACCTGCTCTGTGTTTGGTAAACATGCTCTGTTTTTTACCCAATTAATTTCTGAACCTGCTCTGTTTTTAGTGAAGACAAATTATGGGTTCCTTTATTTCATGTTTTTTTTTTACTCTAATTCTGTACTAAATGCCATTTATTTTTGGGTGGGAGTGAGGGAATATTGGGTTGTTTTATTGCATACGATTCTTAATTCCTAGGACTACTGAAATGCTTTTGTGCAGGAGCGAATCCACTGAGCATTATGTTTTTCTTCTTCTTCTTCTTCTTTTTTATTTTTATTTTTTTGTGATTTTGTGATTTAATTCCTATAAGTTATGACTTACGAGTTATAATTTTGATTTGTGAATTGTGATTTGAGAATTTAGGTTTTTAGGAAATTAGGG